TGAAGGCTCCATGTACTTATACTGTCGCGGTGAGTTTGTATAATGCTCCTTCGTGACACAGTTGCATTAAATGACAATTGTCTCAGTCCTGCCAAAAAACATAACAGAGTAAATACACTAACCAAACAAGTTCCTGGTATGGAAACACAAGACCCCCTAAAATTAAATTCCCATCACCACCATCCAATGCCTTACCTGTAAAAGGCACTTGATTCTCTCTCCTGGAGCCATGATTACTGTCGTGAACACTCCCGACAACATGCCAGCAGCAAACAGCTGAGGATATCTGCCCCGAGGAAACAGAAGAGACCCTAACACAACACCGTACACAGGACACGAAGGGCAGAAAGACCCCTGTCTCACCAGGTGACGCTGTTCCACACAAGGCAGGCAGTGGAACTAGAAATGCATCCACTGCTTTTGATGAGTGCAGAAGCGCCTCATCAATGCCTAATAAGAGCTAAGCATGTAAGATCTCTAGGAGTCAAAGCGCTGGTTCCCACAGCAACCATAACTCAGGTCTTCACATCCATTGTATTTGCTAATATTTCTAGTACTTGCATTTTTTGCTACAGCACTCCCATTCATTTTTATTCCCAACAGTCTCTTCCTCCTCCATTCTCTCACACTCTCCTCAGTGGTCTCAGTTTCCACCCGTGTTCCTGCTTGCACAGCCAGGAGCCTCCTTTCTGTAACCTCTCAGCCCCTGACTCCTCCAGCCTCTGCCATCATCAAGTCTGTCCTACCAACCCGCCATCGTCCCACACATTCTGCACCTGCTTTCACGTGGCAAAGTCTCCGTGACAGAAATGCTTTAAACAAGCTGGGTTTCTCCATCACAAACTTATCTTTACGTCCAGTGTCCTGCTACCTTCTCACATCTCAATTTAACTAAATTCCACACCTCCTGCTTCTCTCCACTTGCCCAAGAGATGGCATTCTATTCAGGTTTTTCAGTTCTTACACCTTTCTTTACTCTTAAATTCCCATTAAATCTTGCAGGCCATGTAGACGTTCCCCACCACTCTACATGCATCTCCTGCTCAAATGAAGCTTTGAGTTTTCTCACTCACTTTGGTATTATTCAGCCGCAGAAAAGACAGGACGGGCACCTCAGGTTTCTCTCCATCTGCTTCCTTCCAAAACTTCCCTTCAAAATCAGCATTAGGAACCACTGCCTGCCTCGAGACCCATAACCATGGTGCTAAGGGTCTGACCTTTATTTTTGGGCCTCACGTCCCAGGCACACTGCATCTTACACTGCTAAGCTCCAGTTCTGTTCCTGTGGAGCTACGAATCACAATTCAGCAAAGAAGTTAAGGGAGTCCTTTATGGGCAGGGGGCTTTCCTCACATTTAAGTTAGCGTGGAGAAAACCACACAAAGTTTTCTCAGCTTCCCACCCCCTTTCCAGGTGGTTAGACGTGCCTGAGAGAAGGGCTGCTCATAAACACTGCTTTTCAGAAATTAACAATAAAACATTTCTATGGCTATTTTTATATCCTAACGTAAGGAAGCAGCAGAGTCACAATTAAGAGGGAAAAGAGAATCAGGACTGTGAATGCTGTCAAGACTGCTTGACCATGAATTTATTTCTCCCATCGTTTCTGTTAATAGCGAGACTGTTTTGCAGGCAATTATTATATAACTCACACTGCACTCATCTAAAATGGAATTGTTCCTTAATGGCTCTTTCTTGCGTAGAAAGGGAATTGCATAGCACCTGCCCACATGCTGTCTGTTTTTAGCCTGTGCTATCGGTCCCACGCTTCCAGAAGCATTAAAAAACACGAGTGTTTTATTTTTTAGAACTATATTTATAACCTAGGAGAGGAGACAAATTTACACCACAATTCAATATGTGACAATACTGCAGGCTGCAAGAGCCTTAGGGTGCCTTTCCCAACTGTCTGATGAACTCAGAAACTCACGTCAAAACGTCATCAGGTGTTCTTTGTTGGAGTCTTTTCCCCAAGCCAAATCCAAAGAAGCACACAGCAAACATGGGTGTCACTCCGACAATAGGAGCTGCCATTCCTCTGTATAAGCCTCGGACTCCCTGCAAGAAAGGTTATCACAAGAATTACTTGGTTTTGCATAGACTTTGCACACATTTTAATTTATTGAGAAGTAAAAGGCTACAATACAGGATGGTGTCAGTCGACAGTCAAACTAATCAGAGGAATAACGGGGTCTATTGTTCATTTGCAATTACACATATTAAGCTGAGGCTCAGGGCTTGTTGCAGAGGAAAGTTATCCTTCCTGGAAAATACTGGCACCACTTACACCCTTCTGTTCCAATACTGTTCAACCTGGACTTATATCTAAAGTATGAGGGAGTTAAGCTAAAAGCCACCAGAGTAATAGTCCTAATAGATTGTTTCAAAAGCCTTCTCTCTCAGATACATACAAAAACACACATGTGCTCCACTAATGAGTCATCAAATGCAGTACTGTAAAACCCTGACACGGAGCCTTACGCCGCTGGATCAAATTCACTCACAAAAGGAAGAGCCAGGGAGACTGACCTGAAGTCCCCACATGAACTCAGTTTGGAATGAGTTCAAGAGAATTTTTTTTTTGTTTCCTTCCCCAAGTCAAAACTCTTTTTACCATACAACTTTACATTCCCCATGTTCCCCTTCATCAGACTGCGCAGATGGAAAATTCTAATGCAGACACTAGCAGTAGCATTTATTTCATTTATCTTGCCTTTGAACTGAACTTTTTCTAATTAAAAAGGAGAGTTATTTTTCTGGATAAAGACTAGATGCACAAATTAAATAACTGCTGGTCCATACGCCCTTCCTTCCTCCCCCAGATAAATCAGTGTATCCCAGTATGTGTCTGTAGCTCACAGGCACAACTGACTGTGCACCGAAATTGTATCTGGCTGACAAAGATCAGAGACTCCTGCTCAATCTTCCCATGAGCAGTGGGAAACAAAAGGCCTTGGCAGAGAGGTTTAACAGTTTTCCTTATAGAAACTGATGAGTATTGAGTAGGAGTAGAGAGGCAGCATCGCTTTTGAACTTCACATCACAAGGCTATTATTATGGTTCAGCTCTGACGTCCGTGCTTCAGCAGGGGTGTTAAAAACCGCAAGGGATTCAGAGCCAGCAAAGCATTTCAGTGCTTTGTGGGAGAGAGCAGGGAAGCGAGATTTGCTTTGGTTGTATAACAACCTGTTAATACCGTCATGAAAGTAGATTTCAGATATGAGACAGATCTTTCATTTAACAGAGAGTTACCTAACAAGATCCAGTGGTTAGAAATTAGATTGCAGACTAGTAAACAGTTGGGCTTTACAGCCATTGTTTCCAAATGGTAAACAGCTGCTGGGAAAACTTACGAAGCAGAAAACTGGATTCTATGTCACTTAAAGTCTTTAAACCAAGGTTGCCTGCATTTCTAAAAACAAAATAGACTATAGTTCAATCACACGATACGGCTGATTCAGGAGTGAAACCACTGTCCACCTCTGAAGAAGACTGAACAAAACTACTATAATCAACCCTCTGTTCTCAAAAAACCCCCCAAAAATTAATAAAAAATTTATTAACTCAAGCTAATGCTCCTCTGCCTTCACATAGACAGCATAATACATTGTAGAAGAAAGTAAAAGTCCTGCTTATATCAGCAAAAGTTATTGCCTATTTTAGGATTTCCAGAGACAACTCCAAATACCACCACCAACAACAACAACGCCAGCAAACAACTACCAACATTCACTCCAGTCTATAACTTCAGATATTATCATGATATTTTGAACCAAGGCCATTTCTTAACAAAACAAAGAGACATGCACCCGGAGCAGGTGGGTTACAAGTATCCCCCAAGTTTTGTCATCTGCTGAAAAATTTTAGTTAGAATCAATTCGACTGATAACCCAAGAATCGTGTAGTCTCTGAGAGACAACATTCCCACACGATTCCATTCCTGCGACGTACGGGAACAACTGATATTTTTGGCAGTAGCGCAGACGACGCGCTCACACTGTACCTCCCCAACCAGAGTCTTCCTGAAGCAGTCAAAGGTCCCAGAATAGAGCGGAGGCTGCCCGGGCTGCGGCTTGGGCTGGGTTTGCAGTCTGACCTAGTGAGAAGGGATAGGAAAACATTATTTTATTAAATATTACTAGCTAAACTTTGATTCAGAAAACACCTCTGTGACCATTAAGGAGTTAAGTTTTGCGACCAGACTTTACTATATGGGTAGGGAGATTGACATCACTTAGCCCCTTGCAGAAGAGATTGAATTTTAACACATTTAATAGTTAATGTATGTAACTAATTAACTGCTAGGATAACACCAGGATAATACCACCACCTGAACACCTGAGAACTAACGCTGTGTCACTGCTGTGTGTCCCAGACCCCTATTTGCTCCCTCACAGCAGGTCATTGGCCTCCCTCCGGCCCAGGAGGAGCTCACAGGAGAGGCCCGGGCTCCCCATTCCCTCCAGCACCGGGAACACCGACGCTTATTTTTCCTTATTTTTACTATAAACCGGCCACCGAGAGGGCCCGCCCAGCCGCCAGGGGGCGCCCTCTCGCAGGGCCAGCCTCCCCGCGGTGCACGCCGGGAAATGTAGTCCACCCCGTCAGGAGACCCTGCCGTCCCCCGCGCGGTGCCCGCTGGGAAGCGTAGTCCCCCCCTCGCAGCCGCCCCGTGCCCTCCGGTACCGGGCCCCTCTCTCCCTCGCCTCACCTTGATGGTGTCCAGCGGGTGCCCCACGAACACCAGGCAGACGCCTCCGAAGCCGCCGGCAAAGAAGTTCTTCACGGGGCTGATGGGCTGCGGCTGCTCCGCCATGGCGGCGGCGGCGACGGTGGTGGCGGCAGGTGGAGAACGGGGCCGGGGCGCTGCGTCCCCGCCGAGCCAGT